GATTTATTGTAGAGATGAGGTCTCGCTGCCCAGGCAGGTCTTGAACCTGCGGGCTCAGGCAATCCACTCACCTCAGCCTCCCAGAGGCGCGGGATTACAGGCTGAGCCACCGAGCCCGGTGGTATCATAATTTTATATAATACAATGCATAATACTTTAGTATATAATATCTTGCTTGTTCAGGAGATTTTCCTGATTTCATTTTGGAAAACTTATTAGGTATTCAAATGTTATACTTTTAACAATTTAATTTTCTTTTTTAGAAAATTATTTATTTCAGAGTCGTGGGTTACAAGTGGGGACCTACCACATAAATAGGTTGCATGTAGGTGAAGTTTGAGCTTCTAGCTGCCCCCTCTCTCCCTGATAGTGGACCGGGTACCCAGTGTGTGGCCACACGCCTCCCTCTGTCCTCTAGCAGTGCCTAGCATCTGCCAATTCCACACTTGTGCTAGCGTAACTAATGTTCAGGGCCTGTTTATGAGTGAGAACATGTGGTATTCAGTTCTTTGTTTCTGTGATAGCTCACTTAGTATAATGGTCTCCAGCTAAATCCAAGTTGCTGCAAAGACCATGATTTTGTTCTTCTTTATGGCTACATAATGCTCCATCATGTATATGTACCACATTTTCTTTATCTAGTCCACTTTTGAAGGGCATCTGGGTTGGTTCCGTGTTTTTGCTATTGTGAATAGTGCTTCAATAAACATGCATGCGCAGGTGTCCTATTCATAGAGCAATTTATGCTCCTCTGGGTATATTCCCAAGAGAGGGATTGCTGGATCGTATGGAAGCTCAGTTTTTAGTTCTTTGAAAAATCACCACACTGTTTTTCAGAGAAATTGAACTAACTTACATTCCTACCACCTGTTTTCTTTTCTCCACAGCTGCACTGGCACCTGTTGTTTTTTTACTTATTAATGAGAGCCATCCTTACCGGTGCTATGTGTTATCTCACTGTAGTTCTGATTTGCATTTCATTGATGATTAATGTGGCTGAGCATTTTTTTGTGTTTTCACTTCTGAATTCTCTGTCCTGTTCCATTGGTCTATGTGCCTAATCCAATATCAATACCATGCCATCTTGTTAATTGTAGCCTTGTAATGAAGTTTAAAGTCTGGAAGTGTGATACCTCCTGCTTTGTTCCTTTTTCCTAGGATTGCTTTAGCTATTCATGCTCTTTTTTGCTACCATGAATTTCTGTATTGTCTTTTCTAGGTCTGTGAACCATGATGTTGGCAATTTGATAGGGATTACATTGAATCTGTGTGTTGCCATGGGAAAAATGGACATCTTGATAATATTGATTCTCCCAATCCATGAACATGGGATGTTTTTCCATTTGCTTGTATCATTCTTGATTTCTTTGAGCAGTGTTTTGTAGTTCTCATTGTAAAGATCTTTCATTTCTTTGGCTGGGGAGATGCCAAGGTATTTCCTTTTCGTGTGTGGCTATTGTGAATGGAATTGTGTTTTTTTATTTGGTTCTCAGACTGTTTGCTATTGGTATATAGAAATGCATCTGTCTTTTGCACATTGATTTTGTATCCCAAGACTTTACCAAAGTCATTTATTAGTGTGAGGAGGTTTTTGGCAGACTCTCTAGGGTTTTCTAGGTATAGAATCATATCATCTGCAAAGAAGGATAACTTAACATTCTCTTTTTCTATTTGGATACCCCTGATTTTCTTCTCCTGCCTGGTTGCTCTGGCTAGGACTTCATGTTGAGTAGGAGGACTGACAGTGGGCATTCTTATCTTATTTCAGTTCTTAGAAGGAATGCTTTCGGGTTCTGCAGGTTAAGTGTGATCTTGACTGCAGGTTTGTCACAGATGGTTCTTATTGTTTTGAGGAATGTTCCTTCAATGCCTAGGTGTTCAAGGGTTTTTATCAAGAAGGGATACCAGATTTTATCAAATGCTCCTTCTGCATCTAAAGAGATAATTATGTGGTTCTTGGTTTTATGCTTGTTAATGTGTTAAATTTTGTGTATAGATTTGCAAATGTTGAACCAGCCCTGCATCCTGGGAATGAAGACTACCTGGTCATGATGGATGATCCTTAAAATGCGTTGTTGGATACAACTTGCTAGAATCTTGTTGAGAATTTTTGCATCTGTGTTCATTAGGGAAACTGGTCTCTAATTCTTTCCTATTGGGTCTTTGCCAGTTTGGGTATCAGCTTCATAAAATATTAGCTTCAT